TACCAGACAGCTTCACTGCAGAAGTGACCTCCAGAAGAATGCTCACCTGTCAGGCACTTTTCTGCCATGCTAGCAAGGTGCTGTGTTTTGGAGCGACCAAAGAGCAAACAAGGGTGTTGAACCATACACCCACTTTCATTTCAAAGGCTCAGCCACAAAATATATAGAAATTCTAGTATGATACTAAATATTGCACCACAGAAAAGGTCATATAGTGTTAGTGTTTTAACATTTCTGTACACACATAGTTAGAAAAGTTGGAATGTATTAATGATTTTTAATTTACTGTTTTGTTTACTTTGCAGCATTCCATGGTTTTTGATTGCTTGTGAGTGAGTTTTGGCATGATTATGCATTGCAAGGTCATCATAAATTCACCAATTAATGCATCTTGTGTCTTACAGTTCCATGAACAAGTATTTTCACCCTTTCATTTTTTTTTTTTTGCTTATTTTCCCAACTGAATTTTACCAGAGCTTCATGTGGATCCTTGCGATAAATTAAGGGAACGTGAGTGAACACATAACACCAAAGTTTGAGGCTTTCATATAATTGAAATTCAGAGAACTTTCAACCGCTTATTGACTTCCTGGAAGGCTAAAGGTTAGAGAAAACATTCAAAATAAGTAACAAACATTGTGCTAACTCTAAAGGCAAAACTCTGTATATTGCAAAGAGATCTGTGTCCTTTTTTCTACAGCTATTGGTATCCTAAAGTTCATAAAAGGTGATTTGAAGGCAATGGTGCACTGTAGAATTTGGATTTGTCCACAAACCTAAACTTGAAATTAGGTTTTCATAAAGCAAGATGGTTTGGATTGATTTCAATGGAAGTACACTTCGTGTAGCTTTCTTAATAAATTATTTTTTTCCAAGCCTAAAAATTAATGTGAGTTTAATAAGTGCAAGTCTTGACAAGCCAGTCATATTACATAAGAGTTTATGCTCAAAATGCATTTCCTGTTTATTCTTAGAAGTGGTTCATTAGGTAGGAAAAAAATCATTTTGCAGTGTTTTTATAAATGGGGAAGATATACAAAAATCACTAAAATGTTGTCATAAAGTGTTTTCACCTTAAATGTATTAATTCTTCTTTTAAGATGAGCAGTTAATGAGGATTGAAGTTAGGGGTGTGTTCAGATGGCTAAAAGATCTTGTCAGTTGCGTGTGTTTTTTTTTAAAGCTTTATGCTGCCAAGGCATAAATGCAGCCGTTAACGATAATTATTTTACAAGTCTGACCACACTCAAGGGGGCTGACCTTTTCTCAGTATTCTTGAACTGCTCAGGTGCAGAGGCAGATGGCGAAGTCTGGCAGACACTGGGAGGAAGTGCCAGGCCATTTACAGCCTGTCCTGCTCATATCTGGGACATGGCAAGCAGGCCTGGCCAGGTTCCTGATCAGAGGGGGCTGGGCTAAGCCACTGGGAGAGAGAGCTGCACTTGCTGAGTTCAGATAAAGTTAACACTTATTCCCAGCCCTTGGTAGGTTGGAGGAGTTGTGTCAGGGCAGCCTTTTCATATTGCTGAAACTGTTGTTAAACTGTAGTCCTGTCTGCTAAAATCCCAAAGCTTCAGAATTTAGTTTTTCCATTATTAGGCCTGGGAGAGGGAGGTAAGAGGAGTCAAATCCTATGAGATACAGCTCTGTGAACAATGTTAGTACAATGTTATTTGTTTACTATTAAACTTTCTATGTCAATAGGACCCACATGAAATTTGATCACATTCAATGGGGAAAATAAGCATAAATTCAGAACATCTGAAAGTGGGAGAATACGTTTTCATGGAACTATATGTAAGAAAAGATTTCCTAAATTAATTAGTTTTTTTGGCCTGTTATTAACAAAGATACTGTTCTAATTTATCATACATCAAGTTTATCAGTGATTGTTTTTGGTCTCCAGCAAGAACATTTTTATTTGCACTGTAAGTCACCAAATTTCCAAATTTGCCCAGAGAATGCTTGCATTTAGACAGTGCATACTATGTTTGATTTGAGTTTAAACGTTACCCGCGTTAACCAATTCAATAATCTGGTGTCTGAACATGAGTGTTAGATAGTGATGAGAGAAACATAATCTAGAAGTTCACTTTGCAAGACAAGAAGTGTGGTGCAGTGCAAATGTTTTATAGTTCATTGGCTGCTCTACCTGTTATTTAAGAAATGCAAATAGTTATTTTCGTCTTTGGTGGAATCGCTCGGGGGTGTTCTTATGACAGATTTACGACAAAGATAAAAAACAAGGTATCTATCGATGCCAGTAATTATAAGTCTGCATCCAGCTTCATAAGGAGACCTCGTTGATAGTGTGTTTTTCGGTAGAGTCACCTCCCACGATGAAGATGGAGACTCCCACCATTAGTCCCTTTAGGCTACGAAGTACTGTGTTACCTTGAACACCAGGGAAGAAAGCAAACAACAGGCTACATGCATTCTGCAAAGGAATAAGTAAAGGTTTATTCCATGCTCAAAAGAGAAGAAAGGAAACACAACGTTTCGGCTGTGGAGCCTTCTTCGGATATGACGGGTTTTCACTTCTTCAGGTTTCACACAGATCACACACATCAGCATGGAATAAACCCGCTACCTGTTCCTTTGCAGCCTATGCGTGCTGACTCAGCTACCCACCTGAAATATGTGATCTCTGTGTTAATCCTTCTTGTATTTTACAAAACCAAAGAATTATCTTTGAGAGTCGACAGCTCTATTTAACAATAAGTGTTCTATCCATACAACTTCTCATTACTATTTTTTTCTTTGGAAAAAAAAAGGGTCTCTTGACTTCACACTACACCTGCTTCTCCTTTAGCCTATCTACTGTATGTCTTCAGTATAGAACTCAGGCAAGCCACTGGGAGGTGCCTTCAAGTTCTGTCACTGCAGACCTCAACCAGAAAGAGCTTCTACACATGTTGTAATAACCTGGGGCTTGGGCTGGGTAAAAGCTTGTGTCAGATGTGGAAAATGATAATTGACATTAGTTGCGATGACAAGAAGTGGAGCACAGGTGGTAGATTTGGAAGTTAGTTCTGTTTTGGTTTTAGCAATGCTTAGCTGTTGGAAGTTAATGTTTATGCCTCCTTTCAGAAAATGTATTTTATATCTCTGAACCCATAATATACAGGACCTTAACAAACTGTGCTGCATATGTGAGCTGACACAATACACCCAAAGAAAAGTAGCTGGGAGGTTTGAATGCTGTAGTCCTGTCTAGTGAGATTCACTGGCAGTGCCTGGCACAGGTGTCCAGCCATGTTATTTTATTTGTTTTTTTGTTGTATTTTAGGGGTCAGACAGAGCTAACAAATTTTGAGTCTGTTTATATTAAATCTTCCCATGTTGGAATACATATGACATCTTATGTATGTTTCCATGAGCAACAACCTTCAGTATTGGACAGACCATTTGCAGACAATCATAGAAATGTATGATTCACTGTTGCAGAAAGACTGTATTATTTAGAGACATTTCCTGGGGCTGATGTGTGTGTGTGTGTGTTAATATTTCTTTTGGCACAAAGGGAGTTCGTTCAGCCTCTCCTCTCACAATGCTGCAAGGTGGCATTCCTGTAGTTTCCACCTGACCGGTACTAAGTCGCCAAAGCAGACATTTCCTTATTTTTTCATTCTTAACAAATGGAAAACAAAGAGAAGTGGGAGGAAAAATTGAGATGTAAATATTTGAACTATGTTTTTATCAGTTTTCTAACACTAGTCAAAACTCAGAACTGACAATTTCTGTTGTAATTAGAAATAGCAAATCCCAGTTTATCCTGTGTGAAATGCCAGTTCTAAATTGTAAAGTTTACAGTTTACTGCAGTGTGATCTAAATCATAACCGATTTTTGTCTTTTTGCCAGTTTAATTAATATCTCCCTGTCTGTTGTAGAATGTACTGTATGTATTCAGCAAGTCTGTGCTGTATGTGCATGTGGAGGCCAGGAGCACATATACACATATACATAAAGAAGTTGGTCAAAATTAGAGCAGTACTATACTAGCAATGAGCATATAAAACTCTGTTAAGTCAAGATCTGTGGCCAGCGGTATTGAAATCCAGGTACTTGGATGACCTCAATAAATCTCCTTTTCCTGGATGATGACAGTGATCATCGGGATCAAAGCTCCACACTTCTGCCTTTTAAGATCCCATATTCCACAGGCAAGCGATTTTGTCTTTTATACTTTAAGTCTTTAATATGCAGGTTCTGTAATTGTGTTTTTTATGTGGTGTAGTGCTATTGTCAGTTGCAGAGAAAGGCAAGGGAGCATTTTGCCTGCTTTCACCTCATCATTCAACAATGCATATACTGTACTTGTGCCTTATCCTGGCTTGCTTTCTTTATGTAATTATACTGCATCTCATATATACTCATGAACAGGTAATGTCTAGTACTTCTCTGTGGTTAATCTCCTCTAAATCTTATAGACGTTCCCCATCCATTTTTTCAAAAATACCTTAGAACTAAGGACTCACATTGTGCGTAACAGGGAAAACATATCATTTCTTAGTTGAAACATGGCAATGAGTATTTGTGGTTCTGAATTAGGACTTGTTGATTAACTTGTGTAGTTCTGGGACCTGTCTCCTGCTCTTCAAAGACCAGTCTAATGAAGTTTTAGATTCCAACAACTCTTGTAAATATTCTTTGTTTTTATGAAGTGATGTCTGCAAAAGAAATTAAGATCATATTGATCATATATATAGCTTTCTCTCTATATATACTAGTTACGGTATATATATTAATAGCTTCTTTGAAAAGTTATCTTTTGAGCTTGTTAGGAAATCGAAGTGTTTGTCTGAAAACTTGAAGACGAATTAACCTCAAGTAGTGTGGTTTTGGCAGAGCAAGTTGTACCTGAGGGAATCTCAGGGCTCCTCCCTTGAGCACATGTTGTTCACTTGAATTACTGTGAGGAAACCCTCATTGTCTTGCTCCTCTCCTGTGAGAAATGGGGAACAGGAGAGAAATGCCCGGCTGTCCTCTCGTGTTGCAGAGCAGTGACTGTGCCATGCTGCGGTGATCCAGGGAGGTTTTGCTGAGCACATGGAGCTGAAGGTGTGGGTAGATGGAGTGGCACGAGTGGTGTGCGGCCTGTCGGAGGAGACGTCATGCCAGGAGGTGGTAATAGCATTGGCCCAGGCAATCGGTAAGTTTCAGCTCTTCTTTGGGCGGTTTAGAGGGTGCTCAAACCTATTTAAATACTGCTGCTGTTGGGGAAAAATGAAACCATTGCAGCAACAAACAGTGTTGGAGATGTCTGATTGCTTTCCACATCTCAGCCTGCTGGGGCTGTACTGGTCTGCTTTAGTAATGCTACATAAGGCGACTTCATGAAGGCAGGTTCATGTGCACACAGCACAGAGCAAACCCGTCTATGCCTGTCACAGGTGAAAGAGGAAGCTCATTCTGACATAAGAACATCAATTTTTGATCAATTTTGAGCATCCTCTGCAAATAACTTCCTCAAATGTCCCTTTAGTTTAAAGTGAAAAGGTATTCCAGCTTTTAATTTGAAAAAGAAGTAGGGAACCTTCAATTTTGATCTAGGTGTTTAATAATGGCTTACATGCCTTGAGCTTTCTGTAAAAGCTTTAGCTAGGTTTATTGAAACAAAGCCATATTTGACAGATCAGAGCTGTGTTTGACTGATGTTGTATTAAAGTGAGACCTTAAAGAACACAGTCAGAACACAGATAGAGATGTCTGTCACTAAAGTGCTGTTTTGTTGGGAGGTGTTATTACCTCCAGTTGCTTGTGACAATATGGGGATCTCTTGAAATATATGGATCCCTAATTTAATGCTGTTCTTCAATTAAAGTCTGTTTAATTTAATCTAGTAAAAGCAAACCTTCCAAGCTGCAGTATAGCTATTTCTATGACAAGGCATGCCTGCCATTTTCCTAAAATAGTTGGAGATGCCACTGCAGCAAAATTCAGATGAATCATGATTAAAACAATGCTAAAATGATGTGCTTTATTTTGCTACATCCAGTTAATCCCTCCATTTTCTAACCACTTCACCCAATTCAGGGTCGCAAGGGAGCTGGATCCTATCCAAGCAAGCAGTGTGTGCAAGACAGGGTACACCCTGGATGGGACGCCAGTCCACTACAGGGCACACATAGACACAAACACATTAACACCAGGGCCAGTTTTCCCAGAAGCAAGAAACCAGAGCACCCAGAGAAACCGCATGCAAACAGGAGGAGAACATACCCCACACAGATAACACCCCAAGTTTAGAGCTCAACCCAGGGTTCCACCTCTGCGAGGCAGCAATGCTAAAAACTGCACCACTATGCCACTCAGCTTCATTACATGAAATCTACTTTAATTCCTTGTAGACTGTATAATATTGTATTATAATGTATAATATGGAGATCTTGGCCTTTAAAAAATGTTTTCCCCTCTAGCAATAATGGAATAGTTTTGGATACAATACTTGATGTCATTGCCAAAGTTAGTTAAAAGCTCCAAATCTATAAATCTTCAAATAAGAACATAAAAAGTAAATGACAATAACAGACTATTTAGCACATCAATGCTCATTTTCTTCTACTAGCAAATCTATCACAGTATCAAGACTAGACTTGAACATTCACAGCGTCTCCAACATGTGTCCTGGAAATGCATTCCAAGCGTTTAATAGCTCTTTGTATAAAAATAGTGCTTTGTAATATTAATGCAAAATTGGCTTTTAATCACTTTCCGTCCTCATAAGGCATCTTCTTAAGTCCTGGGATGAGTCTTATTGCTCTTCTCTGGACTTACTCTAATACATCTTAATCCCTTTTGTAAAGTGGAGACTAGAACTGTTTGCAATAGTTCAGAAGTAATACAATTGCTTTTTAGAGTTACATAATAAATTCTCTTGGCCTGAAGTCTATACTCTTCGCTATATACTAAGTATAATTGCCTCTTATGATTCCTCTTTAATTGCTTAGAAGAGAGTGATGAAGATGCTTCAACCCTCTGTTTTTTTCTCAATGGTTTCTAATTCAGCTTTCTCCAGTGTATATACAAACTTTAAATTTAATACCATTAAATTTAATTTGCCACTTACAGTATCTGACCATTTCCGAATCACAGCCGAATATTTCTTTAGTGAATTATGTCCTGCATGTTGATCATTCCTACAAGCTTGGTATCATCAGGAAGGGGGCTAATTTTCTACAGAAATCTGGACCAGTTAGACATGTACTAAGATTGTAATGTAAGTGGCTGAGGACCCAGACATTGCCTCCGAGTTAATGTTACTGTTTCTGTGATTTTTTTCAAGGGAAGACAGGCCGTTATGTACTGATTCTGAAACTGCGAGACACTGAGAGGCAGCTGCTGGCCAATGAAAGACCGTTGGAGTCGCTGGCCAAGTTAGGACAACACAGCGCGGACGTGCAGTTTATTCTGCGGAGGACGGGCCCCAGCGCCAGCGACGGTCAGCATACTGAGCGGACTCTTGCCAGGGACAGCTTCCCTTTGCCCAGGCCGGCTGAGCCAGAGCCCCCAAAACGCAAGGAACCCAAAAAGTCCTTGACCTTCAACTTGGGCCCCACAGGCCCTAGTTCCCCACGAACGAGATTGAAGCAGTACAAACACAGCCTAAAGGACTCACAAGAGCAAGTGGCTCCTGTCGCGTCGAAGGAAGATGTCTTCAGGCAGGTGCTGCTCCAGCAGGAGAGACTCCAGTCCCTGGAATCCCAGCTGGAGTCTCTGGAGTCAGAGATCCAGTCGTGGGAGCAGCCTCCCCCCGGCTGCAAGCTGGAGGACGAGCTCCTTCTGATGGAGCAGACTGTGCGGCGCAATGGGGCAGAGCTGGCCCATGAGGAGTTCTGGGAGACCGAGCTGCAGCTGGAGCAGGAGAGGGAGCAGGACATGCAGAGGCAGATTGCAGACCTGCATAGGATGCTGGAGGACTGCGGGATCAAGCTCCAGGACTTCACCACCAAGTCCAGGGCCCTGGAGCAGGAGATCTCGCAGGAGAGGATGGGGAGGACTAGGAAAGGCAAGTCCGCCAGCCCAGAGGAGACCATTTCCCTCGTGAAGGCTGAGATACACAGCCAGTACAAGCAAAACGTGGAGCTGGAGACCTCCCTGAGTGAGACCGAGAGAGCCTTGGTCAAAACCGAGGCCATCCTGCAGGTAAGCAGGGAAACCAGAAGGGGCATTCAGGTGAAGTGAACTCTTGGGTCTCAACAGATGGTACCTCTCTGGAAGGTGGGGCTGTTTGCTCCCAGTTAAGGACAAGTTAGAGAAAATAAACTTTTCCGCTTCTGAAATATGGTTTAAAAATCTGAGAAATCAAATATATTATCATATACATTAAAAATAAAAATGTTAATTGTTGTAAGATTTTAATTGAAACCATCATGTTTCTTTATAACCCCTAAAAGTCTGAACAGGGTGATTAAGTGGTTAAAAATGTCAAGTGCTTTCTTATATTGACTCGTATGTCTGTTAACATGAAATGTTTTCCCTTTTGAAACATTGCAGTATTGATCTTCGTGAGTTTAGGGATGGAAAACTATCTCTGTTGATCAAGAACTTTGCCGATCTGGGGGTGTATCAAATCAGGACATTATCCTTGTGCCACACATTTTCTGTTTACAGTACTAAATTTAAACTGAAATATTTGGAAGGTGAGTGAATAGATCTGTTGCAGTCATTGCTTGGTTTATACATGTATTTCAGGATCTCAGTTAATGCCAAGGCGTGTCACAAGTCACTCCAGACAGGTTAATTACTATATAAATCAACTCTAGTGCAGTATTATACTACAGTATATTTAGTAGTACATATTTGCTGTCTCTATATATGTAATATCATACATATAACACTAGAGTGGTATAGACAGCATATATACAGTATTATAGTAATCTACAGTAATGTGTTTCTGTGAACTGTGATACTCCTGTAGTATTGAGATTATAGAACATACTGTAAAGTTTTGTTTAATGTCTGTCATACAGGATTATGAACCATACAACCCTACAAAAAGTTAAAAATTCTGTAACCTGATGTATATAGTGTACAAATAGGCAGGTTAGAGAAATAGTGATTTAGAATATATAGTATATCAAGGTTGGGTGACTAAAATATGGCTTTGTTCTAACTTTCGCAGAATGACTTGTGTGCACATCTCTTAGAGCACTGATACACACCATAACACATCAAATCAGCTTTGCACTTTTTGTTCCACAGTGCACTGTATATTATGTAAACTCACTGGGGTTTATGGAAAGGGGAATCTACTTGAAGCATGTTGCTGAGTAAGCACATTTTTCCAAACACATGGTTTGTTGACACAACAAAATAAATTCAATTATGGGAGTTGGAGGTTTCCCTTGAACCTTCTAATAATTATGTGGTATCACAAGGTCCTTAGCTCTTTCAGCCAAAGCAGATCAGTGCTCACTGTATCATGTTTACCACTGTGCTTAACACTGTGTTACCAAAGTGAAGTATTATCTCCCGTTTTATCATAACAGAGCTTAAATTTGTCATTATATAAACTTTCCATGACTATTTATAACTGAGGCATCAGTGATGTTCCCTCAGATGCAAGAAAAAAGACACGTTTTTCTGTTCTGATATGCATTCTTGTCCTTTCCATGTCTGGCATTTGAGGCCAGTCCTCAGTGGAGAGTATTTATGATCCTTAAGTTAAAATTTCTATCTTTTTGTTTGCTGACCTCTTGGAAGTATTTCTTCTCAAGATGCAGTTTTTGATTCTAGAAAATACATGGGCATTTTGAACTGTTTATGTATGTGAACAAATAGATAAAAATGTTTTGCCATGGCTTCTTCAAAGGTTTCTGTGTAGTGAACTGGCCATACTAAGAGACATTGCCCAGGAATAAATCAATCAATGTCATTTCATTAAGTAATAGATATTTGCAGAGTTACATCACTTTCAGTAAATGTTTAACACATTGTGCTACTACAAGAAAATAAATTGCACTACAACAGGATATTCAAACAATACCAATAGCCATTTCCACATTGGGACTGAATCCATGCTCTCATTGTCCTGTACAGAACAATTGTTTTTGCTTTTGGTATCATCAGCAAAGTTTTGTATAGTTTAGGGTTTTTAACAAAAGTGAAAACAAAATCCATTCTTAACATCCTGTATTTTATGTCTTGGACACATGCTTTGAAAGTTTTTTTTGCTTTTTGCTTCTTGCTTTGGCCATTAATTACAGACCGGCACTCTTGAGATTGTGTAGACAGGGCTGCCTCTCTGTGGATAAAATGTGAATTGTTCCTTGAATTTAGTTTTCTTGGAATGCATTCTGCATTGCTTTAAAGACAGGGAAAGACTAAGCTAAATGCTAACAAACCTGAAATCACTTCCTTATAACTTGATTTTGTGATAATAATTATTACATTTGGTATCATGATTAATACCAACAGCAACAAATTTGAATGTTACATTGTGTGAATTAACTAGGTACTACCATTGTTTACTTTGCATGATTAAATTAAAAAAATATATTTTAATGGAAAGAATGTTGAGATGAGCGACTGTTTAGATTTTGGCCTCAGGGTCAATATTAAAATGATCCCTCATTTTGTCCAGTCAGCTGGTTTCCTGTGCACTATTTTTCACAGTGTGTAAACCAGGAAGGCTGTCTTTACTGTACATATCAGGCAGAGGTGGGAATGTGTTTCATTCTAGGTGAAGGTCTTCCCTGCTCCTTTTACAGGGCTAGAAGACACATCCTGAAAGGTTTGGTATAGAGTGGTGTCATGTGAATCTGGAGAAGGCGTGCCATGGTTAATTGACTTGGTGACAGATATCACATTCATTATTGATCATTGTGCATAAGCAGATGATGCTTTTACAGCATAGTACTTTAAACAGATGACTTCATCATCCCCACCTCCTCTGAATAACATTCATACTGTCTCAGAATATAACTGTATGAGCTTAAAGCTAAAATGTGTGTAAGAAATAACTTTAAAGAAATTAAAAGCATGGAGTTCCACTTTTTAACATGAATACTCATATTAAAAACTCTGAAATGATTAAGCAAATTTTTTGTGCTTGGTGTGAAGAACATTAATAACCATAAATAAAATAACTGTAAATATTTATTTTTTAGATACTTTGTGCCTGATAAATGTAAGGATTTACTTCAGTTTCTTGTTATGATGTTACAGTTGCACTGACCATCCTCAGCTCATCCCGCAGCTCATACTGTACATTTTCATATTGAAAAACGAAATGACTTGGATGTTCGTACTTCACTCCTATCAAGGTTGAATACACAAATCAAAAGTATCCCTTTTGCCATGAAAGGCCATGAGCTCACAGATATTTTTTATGTTAAAGTCAGTGATATAGCATTGCTGCCTTGTAGTGATGGGGCCTTCTGTTCAATTCCTGCATGGCGTTTATATGTTCTCACCGTGTCCGCATGAGTTTCCTCCCACAGTCCACAGGCATACTGAAAAGGTAATTGGCTTATGGAAAAATTTGCCCTAGTGTGAGTGTGTGAGTGTATTTGTGTTTGTGCTGTGTATCTGCCTTGCCGTGGACTGGCATCCCATCCAAATGGACTTTACCTAGCCTAGCGCCTGTTGCTTGCTGGAATAAACTCTAGCTCCCTGCGAGCCTGAATTGGATGAAGGGGTTGAAAAATGAATGGATGGGTGTTCATTGTCAGCCTTAACTTGTATGGCATGCAGAATAGCCATGAAAGAGGATTCATATTTCCTGATTTATTTTTGAAGAGATATATTATTCCTCAAAAAATAATTAAGTCTAAAAAGCAAGGATCTTTCTTTCAGTCCTTTTTCTTGAAGCATGGCCAACTTTTCTAGATAAAACAAATGGACTTCCAGCATAAAAGTGCAAATGAAACAAATCCAATGTGTTTCACTTTACTTCTGCCTTCACTCTTTGGATGTTGTTTTCCCCCGTTTGCAAGATGTTTTGATGCTGGTCTTGATTTGTTGCTGTAAAGTTTTGTATAAATGTAGGCTTCATGTAACTACAAACAATAGTGTCACAGAGAATACTTTTTGAGGGTGCAAAGAGAGAACTTATCTGGTCAAGTGTCATTGTGTTAATCATTTAAACCACAGTCTGAGAGCACAGCCTCTGGGAGCCTCCTTCAGAGTGTCTTTTTTTCTTGCTAACATTACAGAGTCCCTTCTGTTCTGAGAAGCCCGGAGCTTTAGAGAACACCTGGTCAGATATGTCCAAACTTGTTAACTGAATGAGGCACTGATGTGGGCAAAATACACTGCTGGCCTTTCTTATCTGTCCTGTAAAGGCTGTTGCAATCAAGTCCAGTACAGTGTCCCAGCAGTCCAGTCCAGGGAGAAGTGCTCCTGACCCAGTTCTATACATTTCATGCCCTGGTTCAGAATGGGAATATTTGCTCACATTTTTATAGCACTCTCTGCATTTCAAAGAATCTCATCAAGCTTCACATGTAGGAGGGAAGCCATTTCAACCCCTGCAATGCAACATATACCTGGGTGATGCACAGCAGCTGTTAAGCACCAGCAGAAGTGAGAATTTACTTACCTTGTTCAATTAGGATAAAAATTAACATCCCTGCTCTTATGAACGGTAGCATAGGAACCATTACAATAACTTTAATGATCAAGTCTTCAGGACCTTAGTTTCATGTCTCATCCAAAGGGTGGAGCAATGTGGAGATCCCCTCTTGCTATGCTGGGTGCTGTTTGGTCCAGAGACCAAAAGATCAAAAGCTGTGGGTTTTCTGGGACTGTCAACCCCAGTACTGACCACCTTGCTTTGCTTCGGAGATCTGGCAAGGTGGCAGCACTGCCTTTGCTGTATCATTGTTTTTGCTTCTCAGCCCAACCTTATTATATTGTCCACTGGGTGTTTGGTTTGACTTCTGTGTAAAAAGTGGGTGAATCGGAAAATGCTGGAAAGATTATTTCTAGTGACTTGAGATACTGTTCTTTCGCTGGGCATTTCTAGGCCGCTTACATAAGCTGAGGTGGGATAATCAAGAGGACAGGAGGGTCAGTCAGGAGGAATCTGCCTGTGTGAACAGTTGTGCTTAACGTCTCTTAATAGCCCAACTGTCCTGTCACATCTGCCCCCACCTGCTGTTTGCACAACCCCTTCCCCCGGTAGAGCTGCCAAGCCCTGCTCACTGTTCTCTTCTCCAGGCAAAGAACGAGGAGCTGGACGAGCTGAACAAGGAGCTAAGGCAGTGCAACCTACAGCAGTTCATCCAGCAGACCGGCACTCCAGGCGCCCCGCCACCCCGCGGAGAGCACCACGCCCTGCCGCCTCACGCCCAGCCTGATGGCCTCGCCAGCGCAGGTACTCTGCTAGCTGTGTGGCCCTGCTAGACACTGCCGCAGCACTGTCTGTCTCGGGGTTCGGGCTAGCACACTTATAGACATAAATCAGATTTTATTTGTTTATTTGCATGTGTACATGTACAATGGGATTCTTATTTATGCCAGTCTGCTAGGACATGCACAGTACAAGAGACAACACCACACAATGTAGACAGTAAATGATAAACAGTTACAGTATGTACAGACAATAAACAAACAGAACAATAAATAGGTGGTAACTGTGTCAAAGCACAGACGGCAGAGGTGCGTTGAATTCTGAGGCATTGCACAGTTAGCTTTGTGTTGTCAAACTAATTATTTCTTGGTGCCTCTTCTGCATTTTTCATACATCCTCTTGTATGAAGGCTCATGGGAGCTCAGGGAGGTGCTGTGCATGCTCAGGGCCCGTGAGTGGCCAGGGTCGAATCCCAGCAGAGACACACCTTCAAATGGTAGTTCAGGTGTTGCAGCAAAATAATAATTGATATAAATATTATCACTCTTTATCTTAAGCCTAATAACCATGTGTGCAGCCATGCATTTTGGATCAGCTAAGATCCCTCTTGTGGAGTGGTGGAAGAGGACAATTTCTCAGTCTATCCATCTGATTTACTGTTTAATTGTTTGCAGGCTTTCTGTAGGGGCTTTTTGATTTTTAAATGCTTCACCTGTGGAGGTGTTGTGTTTTTATAAAAGTGCTGCAGGGTGTGGACTGTTTGTGTTCTGTGTCTGGGAGGAGAGAACACAGGCGGAGGGTTTGTTCAGTGGAGGGGTTAGGGTTAAGTTTTTTCCCCCCTCAAATGCTGATAATACCATTCTTTCACAGGCTCTTCGCTCTCCAGCTTGGAGTCTCCCCCTCGGCCCACAGCGAAGCAGTTCCTGGGGAACCCCCGAAACCTGCAGAACCCACTTGTGGCCAGCCTGAACCCCGAGGGTGTGTATGTGTGAGCGAGTGCCCCAGTGCCTGAGCTTGCAACATGCCTGGGCTGGGAGGCCAGGGCCCGAGGCGCCAGTTACTGCCTGCATGATGGAGCCTCTGCTTCCCAGCTGCTCTTTCTCCCTCTCTCCCTGCCTCTCCTTCTCGGCTTCTCTTTGGGGCTCTTGTAATGGCTTCTAACTATTCCAGCAGAGCTGCCCCCACTTCACTGGGGCAGAATTTTTTCATGCTTGATTAATCTAGAACGTAATAACGCAGAGTGGGAATTTCCACTTGAGATAAACTAACAGTGCTTTGTTCCCTCAAAAAGTAATAATTCATTTTAAATAAAAGAACCTTTGGTTCTCTTTCTGCCAAAGAATGTATATACTGAAAAGAAACCTAAACATCTTTTTAAAGATGACAACCCAGAGAGGATGCTTTGTGCTTCTTTCTGTTGCATATTCATCTGTATATCCATAGACAATCTGTTTTAAAAAAACTGTGCCAAATATTAAGCTTTAATTTGCAGCTGTGAGAAATTCTTTCTGTAAGATTTTGTTTGCACATTTGGCAAAACATACAAAGACTTGCTTGATCTGTGCTTTATCACTCCTATTTTTTAGGCTTCTCAGGATGATTCCATATTCTTTGCACCCTTTCCAAAATGAATCCCAGTGTTTTATCCTGAAAGAACATGACTTGTATGGTCTAGCCTGCTGATCTAGTAGTCTGAAGTCACTGCTCTGCAAATGTGGATTGTATGTTTAATTTATGACTGGAACCAGGTGCCTAGCTGCCTGAATACATTCTTACTTGAGCTGTCAGTCCATTTCAGAATCAGTAGCTTGGATTTCTCACATTCAAACAGAGGGGCTTGCAGATCTCAGTAGTATTTAGCAAAAGCAGTTGTACAGTATATGCTTCCCATTGAAAACAAAATGTAATTTAGTGGCTTTGTCCGATTCTCTGACCATTTTTGTCCCAGTTACTGTTTGCTTTCCAGGCTCCTCCTACGATTACTAGAAATATATACTGAGATTCCTTCAGTCAGTCTACATGACAGCAGGCATATCAAAACAGATCAAGAAAGCTGACCTAGTTTTTACATTGTGTCAAAACTCACACAATGCATACAAACACTTCTTCTATATGTGCAAATTATCATAAGGTTCAAACTTACATTGAATCTGTAAACAAAGTGTTTTAAAAGACAGGTATGTAGTGAAAGTACAGTAGTTAAAATTGATGTTTACTACATATACATAGGTAGCTGTAGTTTCCTATTTTCCACTGGTCCATGAAGATAAATGAGATTAGAAGCTCTGCGGCCTCTCACTCAGATGTAGCTCTTGCCTGGGTCTGACAGCTCAAGGGTGGGGTTTCCTACCGTCTTTACTGGATGCTGTGCAATATGGATCTCTCCAGCTTGGGACCAAGGGCAGTTCAGACATGCAGACGAAGGGATTGATTTTTTTTGGCAGCTGTCCTCTTTGCTTGCAACTGAGACGCATGTCATCTCTTATTTCTCCAGCCTGTTACCTTAAAAGAAAAGCGCTTAGGGTCACTTAGATTATTTTTGTATGTCTTGCAGTCCTATCATCCAGAGAGACTTCGTGGAGATAAAACAGGGCCAGCACGTGGAGGAAATGTTCACTGTTCACTTTATATCACAATATATTTAACCTTATTATTGTCATTTTCTTTGTAAAATTGATTTATTTCTGTGAATTATTACTTTATGTATATAAACTTATTAAAAATTGCTTATGTGTTTTAGATCTTCCATCTCCCTTGTTTTTGATTTACTGGAAGAAGTGTTTTAAAAGTACTTGATTATCTAGGTATGTTTAGCCTAAGCCTAAACCTTTGTGAGAAAACATCCATGCCTTCTGTGTGTAATGTTTGCTTCTGTCTCCAGCACTCACCTCTTCTGTAATGCCAATGCAATCCTGCTGCTCAAACAGTAAGACAGAAACAGGAGCAGTTTGAAGTGAAACTAGGTATTGTTAAGGTGTTTCTCTTCAATTTAAGTGATGAGATAACTAGCTTTTTAATTATTTTCGCTGACTAGTGTCAACCTCTCCATAATGTACAAGAAGAAAACAGATGTACAAAAGAAACACAGTTTGAGCTGATAGGAGATGCGGAAGGGGCTGACAGTGTCTTGAACAAGGCTTTATCTCAACACGATGTAGGACTATGTGAGGTGCAATAGTGGGGTTGAACCACAAATGATTTGGTAGATGCAGAATAAGCTGAAAGAATTATGAAATTAGATCCTGCTTTAGTTGCCTTTCCTGTATAATGGGCTTCCAGGTTTCAAAACAGTACATTCACATACTGTATATGAAATTTCCTATTTTCTTAGTACAGTTGTTCCCTGAATTACCCATCACACTAAAACTGATCACTTTTGCTGACTACTGCACATGGGAAGGGGTTTTAGCATCTGACCTCTTTAGGTACAGCTGCTGAAAACATGTTTAACCTATAAAATTTAAAGGTAGTTAGAGACCTATCAGAACATAAGACACAGGAATGAAAAAACAGGCAATTATGAACAACCCTATGAAGACAGCACGGACACCAAAGGAAAATGAAATGTTGAGCTTTTAGTTTTTTTTTGTGTGTGTGGGAGAGAAATACAACAGAAGAAACCAGCGATGAGCTGCACTACTGTTGTCGCTTTCAGACTCTCCCTTTGAACAGGAGGTAAACTGTCCTTTCTGAGCTGTAAATAGCTTATCTAGGCTAAACAAATCCACACCCTGTGCTTCCCTCAAAGACCAGGATTAATCCTTCAGCAAGGTTCTATTTAAAAATCACTTAAATGTGATAGTCTGTTTGCATCATGTTCCGGTTCAAAGATACAGTGTAAAGGTCCTTTTGAGAAGAGATGAAAACTGAGTTCAACTCAGTTCAAAAGAAAAGGAGATAATTACTGGATAGAGAATGATAGTGCGGTCCTCATGCAGGTAGCTATACACTACTTCCACCACCCCTCCTGAGATAACAGATTAAAACCGATAAATATTTTCACAGTTCAACAGTATGTATTCTTCACAGAATGGACATTTACATTGTAAATAAAATGATAAACATCTCAGTTTCCCACAGTACTACTTCCTGCAAATCTCTATATTGATTTTCCCTTGCTGTTGACTTACTGTATTTAAAAGCAGACAAAACCAGAGCATACAGCCATAATCCCAGCAGAAGCGAGACGACGACTCTACTTGTTAACATTTAGAGTGCATATATCTAGATGATTAGTGTATCCATAAACAAAATATTTTCACAGCACTGTACAGGTCAGAAAGGTGATAAACATGCCCAGAATGTAATCAAACATCTGATCTGTAGATCAAATGTAGAGACCCCAAACATAACGATCAGTCTCTATTAGACCAACGAGTTAGGGTTTATTTAATTTAGATGGCCTCATCCAGAGAGAGGTGCACTGGCTGCAAAAACTACAATTCAGATAGGTACAATAAAGCTACAGTAATTTGTATACACAATTTATTAAACCAAATTTACCAAAGATGTTTATTCACATACAATAGTCTAATTCGCTTAATATCATAGGATATTGCATAGGAACTGTGCAAGAATAAGAATTTAAAGTGTCTTTAGAGTCTCCTGAGATTGTGCCTTTGCATTACAAGAGATGTAAAAGGACAGAAATGGGATTATGGCTTTGCAGACATGGAAAGTCTTAATACACAATTCTATAAGCTTTAAATCCATGTCACTAATTCTATGACAACTTAATGGAGTTGCTTTTACACGTCTCTTTCTATGATGAATGTGATAAAGTGTTGAGTTAATGCTACTGTACATCAATGGCTGTCTCAACCACACTTATCTCACAGTTAAAACGCCAACAAAATATGAAAGATTATCCTGTACCCCTTAATAAAAAGCAATTACGGAGACTAGAAGAATGCAGATGCACAAATATCTTTGGATCAAATTGCATGTTTAAATTCTTACCCATTTTTCTCTTATGCTACAAAGATTTTGCACATACAGTACATATCAAAAGAGGTTCCTTAAAACTAATCGGGAAAAATCTGGAAAATTCCACACATTTTTTATGTAATAGGAAGTGACACAAGAAAAGATGTGCCAACAAAACTAGTATACTTCCCAGATTTGGAAATCCAGTTCCGTAAGTTTGTTGTCCAGTTTTTCAGCAATCCCTTAGTACTCAGACCATATGAGTGATGTTCTCCAATGTTGTGTGGAAAACAAGCTGGTCTGTATTAATTTTTTTTTTTATTTTGCGAAGGTTAAGGGTTACCAGTGTTAAAAATGAGTGACTAGGACAAAGCAATGTGTAGTTTTCTAAATTTAGTTTTTGATTTGGATTGGGGTCACAATATTCCAAGGCATCAGTCATAAGGAGAAAAAAAGCTGACTCCAAAATAAACAACAAAAGTCCAGCAGCTCTCCAGAGCTCTACTGACCAGCCTGCTCCTGGAGTTACAGAACTGCAGGGTTCGTGTATTACCCTGAATCCATATCTAACAAAGTCCTGGAGTCATGGCAGGGTTAATATGCCCTGTGGACATTCTTATTAATCTAATATAGAGTGGACTAACCCTAATACATGCCCACAAGGCAAATAAGGTCCAATTTTGAGTCCTTAGTTTTGCATCAGCTCTTGCTTATGAGAAAGGAGCTTACAAGAAAGTTCTTAAGAAACCAGCTGAAGTTGTAAAGTATTTATAAACTTTCCAGATTAACAGGAAAACAGATAACAGAGATGTAATAAAAAATAATACTTTGAGGTAATTGTTTAATGAATCCATCCAATTTGTAGTGCACTACACTTAATGACAATGGAGATCCATTGTGGAGTTTGTCCCCAGCCCCTGTCCTAGGACAGGATTCTGAAGGACATATAAAACTTTAAATGCAGAAAATCACCCAAATGTCCTATTCACCTCAAGGTATTTTTATTAAAAAAAAACTTTTTTCAACCAGATGCATCCATTCAGGATTTATTCTCATTGACAAAGGCACCAGCAGAGTCATCACTTACAGCTCCAGTATTAGCAAACTGTAGAGTAAAAATGCACTAGAGACCATTTTGTTGAGCAGAAGTGGAGTTTATAGTCTATTCAGCTAAGGAGAAGCACTTTCCCTGCAATTGGGGAGATTATTCCCATAAGGAAAGTTACAGCTGACCTTTTATACACTTACATAAGAAATACAATTTAAGTTTAAAAAATAAGAAAACTTCAAACAATTTCTATTGGTTAAGCAAACCTCTGCTTTAATCAGGAGATGTCTGCGTAATTGAACTGTATCGATGTTTTCTACAAGCAGGTAGTTATAATTGGCCTTCTATACAAAATTTGGGATTCTTTAAACAAGCATTCTTTGTGTCTGCAGACCCCTAGTCTTATCAGTAGCAGATACTTTAATGTTGCCACTAGTGTTTTTCTGAACATGCTATATAGAGAAATAATTTTTAACCCTTCAAAACCCTCCGGTCCACAGCCCCAGCCACAGTTCAGGCTACTGCCCCAGTTACCCCACGATGTGATGCAGAGCTCCTGCCTGACGGGCCCCCTCCTACTTTGTGATGTGTGTGGCCCCTGCAGGGAAGCGAGATTCATCAAAACTCCTTTTACGCCACTCACAGCCCCGACTCACCAATGTCTCTGAATGCAAAATGATGTTCTCGTTAGTTAACTAGAAATGTTTTAAATATTGCAATGGTGATTGTTGTAACAGTCCTTCTCTGCTCAGTTGAAAAGAACATGGTCGGGACCAACAGCTAGAAAAAATGTGCCAGCAGTGGATTGCATGACACTGGCTTTTCATGCTCGTCCACCACACCGTACGTAACATGAGCCTAAAGACCACTCACAGCTGCTGCAGCGCTGGAACAGCAGTCTCCCGAGCCTCACATGGCACGGCCTGCACACCTTTGGGATAAACCTGAGCGTTAACCAGGGTGATATCCTTCATCACAGAGACTATGGAGCAGCAACTGAATTGCTGCTGTTATACTCCGTGTGTTTAATGTGGAAGCATCCAGAGGGCCTGCTTTTAGTAGGAGAGCCTTACAGGAGTACAGAACGAGCTATCCTGCCACATTGTTGAAGCAGACACCCTAGTTTATTTCAAGAAACAGCTGGATGAAACCCTGAGATCAATTAACTACTAACCTCAGAATGGGCTGGGTGGGCCATATGCCCTCCTCTCATACAGTACAAGACCTTCCTGATGTTTCTATTGCCACACTCTGTTACATGGAGCCTGGACTGAGCTATGTGCATGATGGCTCTGTCCTCCCCTCCTTACACTGTGCTTTGACCTCAGTTTACAGACACTCATGGCTGATGCTTCCTCTGGGCTCTCGTTGAGTCCTTTAATCCAAGAACAACAACATAGAGACATTTAGCCACAATGGCAGGAAAATGCTGTTAAATCTATTACAGAAAACTAAAAAATGCATTAACTAATACATAGCTTTACAGTTCCATTAGAGTGTTTCAATAGTGGTGGGGTAGCTGTGCTTTTTTCGGTGAAACAAGAAAATGTGAGCTAAAACATCTGTCTACATATAAAATCTGGCAAATTATTTAAATGGAAAATGTAGCACGCTATTGCTAACTACTACAGGTGGTATAAAATGAACTGTTGGTTGAGAATAAGCCCTTGTCCTTCATCCATTCAGAGTTGCCAGAGCCTATCCCAGCAAGCAATGGGCACAAGGCTGAATACATCCTGGACAGGACACCAGTCCATTGCAGAACATACAGACACAGACACACTCACACCTAGGGCCACTTTTCCCAGAAGCCAGTTAACCCACCAACATAGTCTTTGGACTACAGAGAGAAATGTGACACCCATGTGGGTTTCCTTAACAGGACGAGAACATACAAGCTCCACTCAGACAGCACCTAAGGAACTGAACCCCGGGCCCCAGTGTTGCAAAGTAGCAATGCTGACTAATGCTCCACCATGCCACTGGTGTCCTAATCACACAATTATTCAAATCCTAGCAAGCAGACAGTATCGGAGTATATGACCATAACATTATATTGTCCTTCATTTAATGTTATGCACCTTCTGTGTTTAGTATCCAAGAATTTATCTCCCCTTAAAAGGCAAATAGCATTCGTTGCGTCTTCACTTTATCCCACTTTAGCAAAATACATTCGAGTGTAGAATTATATTTTTATTATTTAAATATTGGAATTATGATTATTGTAACACGACACAGGTCTACTGCTCTGTTCTGTTAACATAGCACTGTCAGGACCGAAAGCTAGCGAGAATGAATGAATGAGACGTAGCTTTTTAAATGTATCAACCGACAAAGCTGTACGACTGAAAAACGAGTATCCCTCTAGGATTAGTATTCAGCATCGCCTGTAAACTGCGAGGGATTGATGACGCAAAACCTGCAATCCCTGAGACTTTAAGTGAGAAACTCGTAGCTCGGGCGGACGTGTTTAACCGAGAAATGCAATCGGTCCAAGGTCCAGTTAATATGACACGTGACAAAAACCGCCGCAAAACGCAGAAAATATCTCGAACAGAAGAAGTACTGCAACATGAAAAAATACCCCCGTCTTAATTTGAGGTATAAGGTATAACACAACAATTCAAATAAAACATATCTTTATTTCTCAAAATGTTACCAGTCATCAATATAAACAAATTGTATGGTTAGAACCGAGATTTCTATAAACGTTAACAATCAACTGATGACAATGACTTACCATTTTAAAAAGAAGACATAACAGCTTTAACAAAAATAATCACGAGATTCATCGGCACTCACCTAAAGTGTAATGCCAGATTATTTTCAGGCGGATTTTGTACGGAACTGTCTCTTTAAAGCCGCAGCTCTTGAGTGCAGGTGGTGTGCGCTTCATGTCCCCGGTGACCGAAGTGCGGCTTGACCCGGAGTCGCGCCCCGCTCTGTGATCGCTGGATCCCCGCAGCTGGAGGCACAAGCCTGCGGATGCTGTCGGGCGATCCCGGAGGAGGGGGGGCTTGAGTTTGTCCGCACTGGGACTTGGGAATAGAGGCTTTTTTCTCCAGCTGTAGGGACTCATGAGTGACCCCCAGTCCCACGAGCGAATTCCAGAAGCAGAGAGAGAGACCGACACCCTAGAGGCAGGTTAGCCGCTGTCACACGCACAGTGGAGTCCAGTACAAGCGCAATGTGCGTTAGTCAGTGGCTTACCTGCCTCTGGAAAACAGACATTCACAGGTGCAGCGGGCGCAATGATGACCATCTTAATAATAGGACGCACTTCACATATTTTATGATACAGGGAAGGAATAAATACTATCGCCAATTGTGCTCAGTGTAACTGTATTTCTTACCCTTAGAAAATTAACATATAATAATTAATGAGCAGCTGGGTCGCAGATAAACACCCGGTGTTTGCCGCTGTTTACTGTTTAACCCTCCCGCTTGAAACGGCTTGTTCAAGGAGCGCTGCTCTAACTTTCGGTTGGACCACAGGGAGAGTAATGTAAATGTAAAATAAAATCACATGTATTATTTTACCACTGTAAGGGATGACATGTAATACATACTGTTTTCATTGACATTACAACATATTAAAATGATTTGTATGTATAAATAAAAAACTCCCATTTCTTAACATATTATAATTGATATGATTAAAGTATAATGTTTCGAATTACAAAAGTGGTACTGTAAAACCGGAGGGTCCTAGACAGGAAGATAACGGGGTCAGATTATTTTGTATCATAAAATGCTCTGGAACGCAAAGGAAAATAGTCAAATTAAATGTATACTTACCTCAAGTCTTATCTTGTTTGTGGAGTCCTTCTACTTGGAAAAGCCCACATTGCAAAATCACTGGACATTAACCTTAACTGAATATAAAATGCGTGCTACGATAGTTTTTTTTTAATACAGACACTTAAATAACAAAAGTGTAAAAAGTTACATTTCTTCAGGGTCCAGACAGCAGCTCAGAAGTTCAGTTGCAGCGATCCAGCCCACGCCTCTGCTGGTGCAACCTAGCCTGGTTATGGAAATCAGGCAGTGACTGGCGCCTCGCCTCGCCAATGAGAAGTCAAGCCCGCGATGCAAGTCCCGCGTTCAGGCGACTCCTAGCGAATTACGGCCTGTCAGGGGCGTGTCCGGCGCCGCCGCTGGTTCGGTGGATCTCCGTGAGTTATAGTTGGGGTGGGGTGCGTTCATTTCTGCACGTCTTACTTTGGGAAGAAACCATTCGCACGTCATCCATTTCCTGCTGCTGGCGATTATTCAGGCGCGACTGTCGACGCGATGACTCTCCCCGATTAAAACTCTCCGTCACATGGGGGGAGGGGGGAGTGTAAAGGGGGCGGGCGCGCGGTGACGACCCACAAGGCATGCCACGGGCGCTGTCCCCCTCGCGCGGAGTGGTTGCACTCCGGGCTCGCGCGCGCGCGTGGGTGTGCCATGAGGCCGGTGTCGGTGTGCACGTACTGGGGGCGCGCGCCAGCAACACCACGGTCACGCTGCTTACAACGCGTAAATCGCATCTGGGATCATTCGCTTGAAATATTTAAAAACTGCAGAGTGACGGAACCTATCACTGTCAAACGCCCTGGCCTCATTTAAATGAAACAGGGGGAGGTAATGACGTTGAAAAACTGCATGCGCTAATAGTCAACCTATCCTATCCTGGGCCACGAATTCCCTGTCCCATAAGAAGGTTGTTTCTGTCAGAACTGGGAAATCATTTGTAATGTAAATGCAGAGAAAAAAGTTGTCAAATTCATATAATTTCTTCCAAAACTGTTTAGTCGAATTCTTCATTATCTGTGAAAATAAAAGGGTCGCTCTCCCGGGTTTGCACTGAGATTCCCAAATTTCTTCTGGGAATGACTAGTGATGCAATGCTCGTGTTCCAATACGTGTGGGCTGGTGTGAAGGGGGGCGGGCAGCAGGCAGAAACATTTGCTCAAAACACGAAGAACATTCTTGAAGGCACGCGTGTGCGACAGCACGTACTGGGTGCTCCGCTCTCTGTACATTTAAACTATAAAATGTTCTTCGAGAGCTGAAAACCTGCTCGGCAAAAATATACGGGATTGCAGAACGCTGAACGCGGTGGAAAAGTTTTATTGCATAAATATGATTATCAAATTTGCTTCAAAGGTCGGTTAATACCATATGCATCTATCTGTCTGTATATATATATACACAATATATCCGCACACTCATCTGACAAGGTAGAGTCAAAATCTGAGGTTGTAAGACCAACCTAACCTCTATGTACATATATATGGGTAGTAGTCCACACCTAATATTTCAAGGTTTCGAGACTACAAATGCAGTGCAACAACTTAGCGCTTTCTTCATTTTTCTGTGTTAAAAAACCCCACGATGAATACAATTCACTCAATAAATGTATTGTGTGTGGCGGTCAAACTTTCAGAAAAAATGGGAGTTCCTTTAAACTTAATGCGCACCTGCACGATAAGGTTTAACTTAACGCTCTAAACGACGCGATTTCCTTGAGTTTAGCTCAGACCTATCCCAGGGCTCCTTAAAAATGAGGCGCAGTTTCAGCAGATACATTTTAAAGCTGTATCCTTGCAATCTGTTATGTACCTCTTCTTCTCCCCAGAAACGAAACCATTTTACACGAATCTTTAATAATAATAATAATAATAATAATAATTGCTTACACTTATATAGCGCTTTTCTGGACACTCCACTCAAAGCGCTTTAATGTTTAATGTTTAATGTTTCTTTATTAGCCCTATACAATTTCTTGCATTAGGAATGCGTCTCTTTTCAGGTAATGGGGTCTCCCCTCCACCACCACCAAGGCATCTGAATGTGTGTACGAGTTACAAGCATTAGTAATTATAAAGCTTCTTCATCCTATGTTGAGCAGTTTTGTCCTTAAATACCTGTGCCACTCCGCGTGGAGTGGAAATTCGGGTTTATCTTAAACTCAGTTTGTCTTATCTGCATCTCAAATAAAAGCTGTCAACGTGTGATTCAAATCGAAAGTCATAGAAACTTTGCAAACTAAACTTTCAGTTCTTCGTGCTGTTTTGTGGAGGTCGCTCGGTAACAATAATACAAATTGAAGAGCCCATTTAGGTCTAAATTTAAACCACTGGGGCATAAGAAATGAATTAACACCACCATATACTATATACAAAAAATAATGTATTCATTTAATGACAGAATATATTAAATGGTGGACATGAAAATATGTAGGGTAATTATTATTGTAATGACTGATGCCACGAGTTGTCTAAGGTGATTTACTTTCAAAACAGTCAAGTCCTTAAAAACCAGTAATGTAAAATGAACAATACACGGTTTACAGAGCAATACATTCAATACCTAAAGAGTAGAACAAAGCAAAAAAATAAAAATAATTCTGCTCCGTTTTCAATGTGAAATACCCGGTTTAAACTCGGCCTGTATCTGGGATATAACAGTACCAAACTCTTTCACTTTAACCTATAGCCTATAAATAAACGACATAAATACAGTAAGGAAATGCTCACTTCTGTTTAAAACAAGCACTTTTGCTTTATATGATCTTGTCAGAAATAAAACAGTAGGCGAAGTAACCAAACGTTTGCATTAAAGGGGCGCTGTTCAATTAAAACGGGCTGCTAGTTCGAGTTAAGTAGAAACATACATTAAGGCATGTTGGAATAACAGCAAGATAAGTTGTTCTTAAAGGTGTAATAATAAAAGAACGTTTCTCGCAGATTACTCCTGCTCAATTCTTACTAATTTAATAGGAACTATGAATATTATTCAACCGCCTTTAGGTGTGCTCCAAAAAGCGCGCAGTGTTTTTGGATGTTTAAATGTTATACTTTCACCAAGGGGTGTATTCACGGGTGCGCCAGGGTGGGCCCAGGTCCGCCATGATTGATCCTAGGCCTACCTAATCAGTCCAAAGTAATTGAAGATTTTTCCCCCTTGTTTGCGTTACATGATTTGTTTTTTAATGTTACAATTTTTAAAATCGTATGTGATTTGCTATTGGCTCGCTGTATGTTTTGTGACCAATAAGAAAATTATGTAAATATAGTGGGGTGGTGCATGTGTAGCCGTAGCCCAATCGGCTATCGTTGTCGTCAGACACTATTAGCTCTCTAGCGCTAGGTTTTTGATTTCTTAGCCAACATGGTAAAACAAATATATGGTGTTCCTATCGATGCACATGTCTGAAAGGTAGGCTGCTACGTTTTGTGTAACAATAAAGACGTAGCTGCCTTATTGTAAGTCGCCCTGTAGCTTTAAGAGTGTCGCAGCGAATCGGGCCCGTTCGGCTGTTTCCGGCGCTCTGCTCAGCCGGCACTATCGCTTAGCGCACAGACCCTGGTCTTCAAAACAGCCAAATTAAGCCTCCAACAGCTGCCCAGGGTAGGTCTTAAACCGAATATAAACACACATTATTGCGTAAATGTAATCAAAGAGTCTGCGATGTATAGTCCTGTAAGGGAGAGAGGTTAGGTACAGGTATCTCGTCATCTAGACTGTGTTTGTTAAATTTAGACTCGGAAAGTGCTTCCTAACAAGGGGATCATAAAAAAGGCCCCAGACAGATCTAATTGAAGCAAAGTGTAAATATGCACTTCTCCTTTTTAAATTTAGTCTGTAAATATTAAATGCAATTTTACAGTGACATTATAGTAGCTGTTTTTAAGACTAAAACCATTTCATGCTCAGTTTCACGGCTCTGAGAAGCTGCGACGGTAACTCCATCAACACAATATAGTTTGTCTAGGAGGAGAACAAGCTGTGTTCAGCCAATTTAACAATAATTAGGTGGAATTGTAAGAAGCAGAACGCCTTTGGAGTTGAATTACCGAGTGTGCAAGCATGTGTAGCGCTCGGCCTGGGTTAGCATAACCAAACAATTGTTTACGTGGCGAGGATGACACCTTTCATATAATACATTTCTTATATACATTTCCTTAACTGCGTTATTGTAACTTTTTAGGTCGACTTACTTATAGAATTGCTTTTTAGATCTTTAGAACATTACAGCTCAACGATAAATGCGTTTTTACGGCTGTGGGTCGGTTTTCACTTAAAGCTAACTAGTAGGGGTGGGGTTTGTCCTCCAAACCTTCAAAGTCTGAAGTTTCAAGTCTACTAGTGTTCCAGGACAGCAGTAGCTGGGGAATCCACTGTCCAAACA